CATGCACCCACAGCTTGCAGCCGAGACGCCTCGGTTTAGGGTTTAGGGTTTCGGGTTTAGGGTTTAGGGTTTAGGGTTTACGGTGATCAAACCCTAAACCCTAAGCTCCCAAACCCTAAAACCCTAAAACCATAAAGATTCCCCTGCGAATCTTTCGACGCCTCCCTTGAGCCGAAACCCTCCCTAATACAGGGGCCTGAGTAATTTCTCTTTAGGGTTTAGGATTTAGGGTTTAGGGTTTAGGGTTTAGGGTTTAGGGTTCAAAAGGCTCCTTATTCTAACCCCAAAACATCCCCAAACCCTATTCTACTATAGAACCCTTATAGCCCTTGTGGTATCCCGCTTAAGGAACCCTTTCAAGGAACCCTACTCTATTTCTTGAAGCCCCCTAAATTAAGTTAAGGCAGTCGAGGTCGAGAGGCCTCTGGACTTTCACCGCGACCTCCTCGCCAGTCTTCAATGTGGCACGGTAGACCTGTTGGCATGGGAGTTATATATAAGGATATGGTTTAGGGTTTAGGGTTTATAGGCTATAGGGCTTCGGATACAGGGTTTAGGGATTACAGGGTTAAGGGTTGAGGTTTAGGCATGAAGGTTTAGGATTTACGGCTTCGGGTGGTGGCGGAGGCTGCGAGAGCAATCATAAGAACAAGCACAATAAGAGGCGTGATGCAGAGGAGTCAAAGTAGTGATGACACGACCCGCACTCGATTTCAGTGCTTGGAGCTGTGGCTTGAAAATTTAAGAGGCCAGCAACAAGATGGACAACGGCTTTCCTAAAGCCGAAGACCTTGGATCTATGGTCGAATTGGTTCTTTACTTGTTGGGGTGACTCGCCCTCAAACTCTCAACACCAAAACCCTGGACGCTGATCCCCGACAGGTGTCTGAACCCATGAGGTCACCATGACATGCACACATCTGCTCCCCAGAGGCTCCACCCTAAACCCTATCGCCCTGAGACCCTGGAACCTCAAGAAGACATCGACCGTATCACCCCGAGCCCAGCACCCTAAACCCGAAACCACCCACCCCTAAACCCTAGACCCTGAACCACCCACGCCTAAACCCTAAACCCTGAACCGCCCACCCCTAAACCCCAAACCCCAAACCCCAAACCACCCACCACCTAAACCCTAAACCCTAAACCCTAAACCCTAAACCCTAAACCACAAACCCGAAACCCTAAATCCTAAACCACCCACCCCTTATCCCCGACCGCGCGGGCCCCCGCCGCGCCTGTGCCAGCGACGCCGCCGCGATGGGTTCCTTCGAGGCTCTCGGCTTAGGGTTTAGGGTTTAGGGTTTAGGGTGAAACCCCGAGCTCAAGGCCCTAAGGCTTGGGGTTTAGGGCTTAGGGTTTAGGGTTCGGGGTTTAGGGTTTAGGCTTTAGGGCTTTGGGTTTAGGCTTTAGGCTTTAGGCTTTAGGGTTTAGGGTTTTTGGTTTAGGGTTGACAGTTTGGGGTTTAGGGTTGAGGGTTTAGGGTTTAGGTTTCAGGCTTTAGGGTTTAGGGTTCTTGGTTTAGGGTTTACGCCTATGCTTTAGGGTTTAGGGTTTAGGGTTTCGGGTTGACGGCTTGGGGTTTAGGGTTTAGGGTTTGGGGTTTAGGGTTTAGGGTTTAAGGTTTGGGCCTAGTTAGAGCAGGGTTCCTTGGAGGGCCGGTATGTCTTCCTTCAAGGGCTTCCCAAAGGGCTACAAGAAGAGTGCAGGGCTTAGGGCTGACCCTTTAAAGGGCTCCTTTAAAGGATCTAGAATTGGGTTCTATATCAGGGGTTTAGGGTTTAGGGGTCTTAGAACAGGGTTCAAAATATATTAGGGTTTAGGGTATAGGTGTTCCATAATACAAGGCGTTGAATAAGTAGACTAGCTTTTCTTGAGAGGGTTCCTGTGCGGGCTTCATTTGGGATCTAGACCCCAAACCCTGCCCTAAGTATTCAGGAACTTCCCCCATATAAGCCCCATGAAGCTCCTCACCCTAAACCCTAAACCCTGTGTCTCCCGCGGGCCGTGAAACCC